TCTGCAGCCACTGCAGCATGAGTTCGATCCCCAGGCAGGGAGCTACCCACATGGCGCAGCAGACCTCTCCTGTCTCGCTCCTTGCTCCCCTCAGCAGTGTATTTTTGTCAATCCACCTGTTGTGTTCCCCACTCTGTCTCTGGTGAATCCTCTCACCGCACCCCCCACACACACCTCTGGCCTGTACCCTGTTCTTGTATGCATAAATAAATAAATCTTTAAAAAAATTTTTTGTAAGAGGTCCTAATTTCATGCATTTACCAATGTAGTGTTTTCTTTGGTCTTGCCTAGGCAGCCAAATTTTAAGAAAATATAGATAGTTTATATACTCAAATCCACCTTTATTTTTCCTCACAATTTTTGTTTTTTATGTCGCTTTTTAAAAAAGTATCTTTTACTTCTATGTTCTATATATAGTCTATTATGTTTTTCTGTTAAAATTTCCATACTAGTTTTAATTTTATGTTTCTGTATCAAAAGCCTAAATTTATATTACTCAAAGGTGAATATGTACTAGTGGCAAAATCATCTATTAAGCACATTCTCTTTTTTCTTTTAAAGATTTATTTTTTTTAATATGAGCAATATTTCTGTTTTTATTTTCCTATAATTTAACATAAAGTAGGAAAAATGTCCAAAAACCTGATTTTGGAAATAGGAACATGCTCTATTTGTTGACATTTCAAGCACGAGACAATAATGCACAAATATTCTTTATAAAATGGAGCGAAACTTATACTTATGAAAAGCATGAAGAATGTCTTGGCATCAATCAAAAAAGAAACTGCAAACATCAAGGAGAAAGATTGTTCCCAAAGAATAAAAAATTGGTCAGGAAAGCACATGCCAGATTTTAGCAACATGTATTGATAGGTTTGTCTATATAGAGACTTTCAGAGAAAACTTTGAGCTCCAAGGATTTTATATCCTGCCAGGTTGTCATTTACCTATATGGAAGCAGCCAAAGACATTGCTGTTTTCTATGGACTTGAATAATATTTCTAATTTTTTTTTTCATATATACTGAGCCTATGTGGATTTGCCCACTTACCACAGCAAAAAAAAAAAAAAATGACAAAAGAGTTATTATGAATGTAAGTTAATAAATAACTAGTATTCAATACAGGAAATATAGGAGAGTGAAATCTCTGTGGCCAAGATGCATGATGTATACCCAAAAGAAAAGTAAGATACCAAGGATACTAGGGCCCTTGGGCATCTACAAAATGTTACTATGATATTCCCTACAATGCTGCCTGGGAAGTCACTGGCCATTAACAAAACAGCAAAATGTCAAATTTTTATACTTTAAGAAATTAAATCAAATTGCTAAACAATTGATACGATAACAATGAAACTAAAAAACGAATTATAAAATATTTATAATATACAGTACTGTTGGTTTCATAAAATGTGTTTGGAAGCATTTCCTCTTTCTCAATCTTTTGGAAGAGTTTGAGAAGGTTAGGTAGTGGTACATATTTGAAGGTTTGGTAGATCTCACTAGTGGAACCATTGGGAACTAGGTTTTTATTTTTGGGGAGATTTTCGATTACTCTTTCAACTTATTTGCTTGTAATTGGTCTTCTGTTTTGTTTTTTTTTTTTTATCTCTACCTGATTCAGTCTCTGATACCAAAAGCAGGTGAGGGCATCAAACTCATCCCCTTTGAGTCATACTGTTGCTCCAGACGTACATGGTTCAAGTGTTTCATTTTGAAAACTTGGAGGAGGCAAGTCCAGTACATCCACTGCCTTCATTCTGCCACCATCTTGCCTGATTTGTTTTTTCTCTTTTGCTTTTCTGCTATTCTTATTTTGAGAACACATATTTTCAGAAAGAAGAGAGACATGCAAATGATCCTCACTCAAGGGAAGACCTTAGACAATTTCCCTGCTTTGAAGATCTATGGCCTCACAGGAAATGTCGTCTCTGCTCATTTGGATTCTGTGATTTCTCAAAATCATCCAAAACAAGAAATGTCTGAGAAACTGTCACACCAGGTGGAGCCTCAGGAGATGCGATAATTGAATGAATATGATGTCCTAAAGGGAATCCAGGAAGGAGCTGCGTCATCAAGGCCAAGTTCCTTCTTTCTCATTAAGATTTCGCCTGATCTTAAGATTTCTATCTTGTTTTTTTCATTTGAAACATGTTCCTCCGTGTCTGCATTTTGCTTGGCTTTGGTCCCTCTTGTGCAGGAGAGGAAAGCACCTCAGCCTGGAAGGCCCCCGAAGCTCACGGCGCTTCCCAGGGGAGCTCTGGCTGTCTCCCCGTGTCAAGGTCCAAACAGCCCATTTTATTTTTAAAAGTTCCCTAAAGATTTATTTTTATTTATTTATACAAGCACTGGGTACAGTCAGAAGCGTGGGAGGGTGAGAGAATTCACCAGAGCCAGAGGGGAGAGCAGAACAGGCAGACTGTCAAAGAAATACACTGCTGAGGGGAGCAGCAGGGGCGGCAGGAGAGGTCTGCGCACCATGTGGGACCCTCCCCAGTGGCCGGGGATCGAACCGGCGCTGCAGAAGCTGCGGGCAGCTTCGCAACCCAGGGCTCAACCGCTGCGCCACCGGGGAGGCCCACCTTCTCTTTTTTCTTAGTGAAATAAAATGCTGTGTACGCTACCATGTGTGTGTACTGCTTTACATATTTTAATGAATCTTGATATATATGAATGTCATATATATATGACCCAAAAATATATGGTAACTGTTTTGCTCTTCTTAATATATATTTTATATATTTTGATAAAATTACTACCTTTACTAAAATTTATTTTCATGTGATTTTTAAATGTATGATTCTGTTGCTATTATAAAGAAAACATTTCTCCAAATCTATCAATATAAATATTGCTAGATAGATAAGTTGTTTTTATTGTTCATTAATATATTATTAAATTATATACATTTTACCAAGTTATATGCATTATAAAGGGTTTTTAATTTTTGGATTTTATTTGTATACAGCACATTTAAGTAAAAATAGATGACTGGTCATTTTTCTTCATCATACACATTCTTCATTTTCTTGTTTTAATTCACTAAAATCTTCAGTCCATCATAAAGGATTGAGTTAAAAAGCATTAATGTTTCACCTGTTAGAACAATGGTTGGCTGCTAGATGTTCAGGTAAACTTTGTAACATTAAAGTAATTTATATTCCCATTTTATTTATAGTTAGCTTACTTAGAAAATCCTACCAAACACCTTTTTCACCATCTACTAATAAAACCATAACACTCTGCTTTATAATATTGATAAGTTTTCTGATATTGAAACATCCTTGTTCTTTTGTGATTACAGAAGAATGCATTTTAAATGAAAAGTAAAAAATAAATCCACTTATTGTAGAATCAAAACATACAATCACACATTCAAATATATTCCATGATGCAAGACTGGTTATGTCATCATGATATATAAGGTTTCCCCGTGAGATGAGGAAATGCATTATAGCTGTGCAGAGGGTAGTGTCTCCAGATTCCAGTTCTGCCAATGCTCAGCACTCATCAGCTTCTCTGGTAGCTACAGAGTTTGGAGAATTGAAACCTTCCTGTGGAAGTTCTTTTCATTCATATATATATATATATATATATATGATGTATATATATATATATATATATCATGTATATATATAATGTCAGACACTGGGAAAATTCATGTGTTACCATATCTGTGAAATTTGAATCATTATGATGGGCAGGGCAAAGCATAAGGTCCAAAAAGCACAAATAAATGATATGAATAGTTGTTTTAGAATCCCATGGCACCATCACTGTTATATGAATGTTTCCCATTAATTCACTTCTCCAATCTCACAGGAAGAGGAGGAAAATATTCAGGCTTGGTTCATGGATGGATCGATGAGCAAGTTGGGCTAAACCAAAACAGAATGCAATGGTAAAATAACCCCAAACAGGAAGGGTGGCCATAAAAAAAAATAGTGAAGGAAATTTTTCATGGTGAGCTGAACCCTTGGTTGTTAACTTTGTGTGGAAAAGGCTGTCTGAGGCACATGGGTATTTATGAGTTTCTGTGCTTTGCTGAAAGGATTGGATCTCTGGTTAGGAGATGGAACTGGCAACCTCGAAAGAAGAAAGATAAGGGAGTCGCAGAAGTTGTATGTGAACTGCATATTGACAGGACACAAGAGTGAAAATCTTTGTGTTTCCTGCTAGTAACTACCAAAAAGCCTTCATCTGAGAGGAGGAACTCAACCAGCAGGTAAAAAGAAACTGTGCATAGGTGTCAGTTTGACTTGACCTCACTACTTGTCCAGTGATTCCAAAGACGGAATTATAATGGTAGCAATTAAAGTAGAACATAAGTCAAAAGCATGAATTCCCTTTTACCAAGTCTCATTTTGGGAAAACCATGTGATCCTCATTGCTGGGATATTAGTAATGTTATTACCAACTTTTAATATTCAGCTAGTAGCGACAGTAACTGATCCCAAGTACTCGATATAGCATTTGTATTTACATTGGATATGCTTCTACATATAATAAAGAACAAAATAACTCTAATTACATAAGATTAAATGTTGAATTATATTGATGTGTAATTTATGATTCACTCTATAAAATGCCTATTTTGGAAACATGCAGAGAATTAAGGATGTTAAGAAATGTCCAATAAATTAAAAAGATTTTGTATATCATTCAAAGAGAACAACTGACTTATTAACATACTTCCCCACATTAAATCTGACTTTTAAAATTGTTTGCAGTCTGCGTGAATATATTATCCGGGTCTCATATTATTGCAAATATAAATAGTTGTTTACATACATTATTTCACTTTCTCTTGAAACAAAATCATAATTTAGGTGGTATCAATATGAACTTCCTGATAAGGAAACTAAGCAATGTCATACAACCTATAAGTTGCATAGTCTGAGGCACTGAGGCATGTGTAGGCACTATGGGGATAATTACCCCATTCTACCAAAGTACTCATTCATGAGTGGCTATATCTCTACTCTGAGAGAGCTAATTTTTAGACCTGGCGCTGCTTCTGAGTTAAAATCTTGACCATAGCCTTTCGAATCTGCTTAGTCTTCACACTGTAGATGACAGGATTGAGCACAGGAGGGATGAGGAGGAAGACATTGGCCATGACAGTGTGGACAAATGGGGGTGCCGAATGGCCATAGCGATGAACAAGAGATAAGCTGATAAGAGGAATGTAGAAGATGGCTACAGCAATGATGTGGGATATGCAGGTGTTGAAGGCTTTCTGCCGCCCCTCTGAGGAAGCGATGCTGAGGACAGATCGAATGATCAGGACATAGGAGAGCAAGATACAAGGGCAGTCAAACCCTGTTGTGGAAAAGAGTGCAAACAGACCAAGGATGCTGTTGATTCTGTTGTCTGAGCATGAGAGTTGAATGAGATCAACATGGTAGCAGTACGAATGTGAAAGGACCAAGGAACTGCAGAAGGACAGCTTCTTGACAAAGAGCACAACTGGTAACATGACGGCAACATTCCTTATCGACAAGCTCACCCCTATCTCGGCAATCCTGGCATTGGTGAGGACAGTTGTGTATCTCAGTGGGTCACAGATGGCCACAAAACGATCAAAGGCCATGGCCAGCAGAACACCAGACTCCATAAATGTAAATCCATGGAGGAAGAACATCTGTGCAATGCAGGCATTTATGTTTATCTCTCGGGCTTCAAACCAAAAGACTCCAAGCGTCGTGGAAAGTGTGCACAGGGACAAGCTCAGGTCTGTGGCTGAAAGCATAGAAAGGAAATAATACATAGGCTCATGCAGACTCTGCTCACGAAGGACCACAAACAGGATCATGCTGTTCCCAGTGAGGGCGATGACATACAGGAGACAAAAAGGGATGGAGATCCAGACCTGGGCTGCTCTCAGGCCTGGGATACCCGTCAGGAAGAAGGTCAGAGGCTGAGCATTGGTATTATTGAGGATCAACATAAGGAAGGACTGAGAAGACAGTGATATTGGAATAATTGACCATAACACATAATAAATATATATATATAATGTCTCACTTACATCTTCCTGGCACTCTGGGATTCATTGAATAACAATTACTGATTCTCTGAGAACTTTGGTATTTTCTGACTTTTCTGGTGTATGCAAGCTATTCTCTCTGACTCTCTGTATTTCTCATTTATAGAAAAAGACTACTCTGAATTATTTCACAGGAGATTTCCAAAAGTTTGTAATGTTCTTTGGTAGCAGCAAACATCACCATTAAATTTCCTCCTGTTAATAAAATTTCTCAGAATCTCTAAACTTTATCATGAAAATTTTGGTTTCCAGTACTTGTTAAATAAATTATTGATACTAAAATAAAGCAGTGAAGGGCTTCCCTGGTGGTACAGGGGTTAAGACTCAGAGCAATCAAGCTATCACCAGCCACTGCAGCATGAGTTCTATCCCCAGCCAGGGAGCTGACCCACATGGCGCAGCAGACCTCTCCTGACTTGCCTGCTGTTCCCCTCAGCAGTGTATTTCAATCAGTCTGCCTGTTCTGCTCCCCACTCAGTCTCTGGTGAAACTTCTCACACCCCCGCACCTCTGACCTATACCCAAGTTCTTGTATGCATAAATAAATAAATCTTTAAAAAAAAAAAGTATCTTGCCAGTTCTTATATCTTTGTCTTTCACCCATTTTGTGACAAATTTCAAATGAATATCTGAAAGCAATCTGTTTTCTTGCTTCCTAAAGTTAGGGCCTCCTTCTGGAGTTTGCCTCTTAGGTTTCACACAGGTAAATAAATTCAAAATATTTAAAATCACACTGAACATTCCCACTATAGTTGTTCTTACTCCTATATATTTTGCATAAAGAGTAACCAATAATCTGTCAAAACTCTGGAAATTATTCTACACTTTTTAAAATCTTTTGTCACCACTCCCAATCAATTACCAACTCTTTTCTATTCAACCACTAATATCAAGTAACTGTTATTCTTCTTCAACCTTTTCTTTTATTTAACACAAAATATTCTCTTTCAGATCATCATGCTGTATACCTGGACTATTAACACACAAAGTTATTATTATGAATATAAAAGGCTTTAAAGCTAGAACAGTATCACTTATTGAGCATTTTTCTGTGCCAGAAAAATACAAATTAGAAAAACAATCTTTCAAATTGAATATAAATGAGAAAAACACATAATAGGACCTGTGAGACAAAACATTGAAGTTCAATGTAGAATATATATTTGTTTGAGAATAAGGACATAAATATTATTTTAATATTTTCAGTATAAGAGGCAGGGGAAATATTTAAATAAATATCAAAAGAAGCAACTAACAAAGATTAAGAAAACACTATTGAATGAGTTAACAATGAAACCAAAGCTGATTATTTAAAAAAAAAAAATAGGTGAACTTTTTTCAAGAGTGAAAAGAAATCAAGAAAATTTTAGAAAAATCGTGATCAACAACATGAGAAATTAAAGAGAAAATGAAAGCATAAAGAAATAAAAAATTAAATATAATGAATACCATGCATAAGTACAACAATATATTTGGCACAAATATAAAATGGGTAATTCCATAGGAAAACATCAATCATCAAACTAACCCGAGAAATTACATCCAGTGGAGAAAAAATAGCAATGACAGGAAAAACTCCAATAACCAAACCTAAAGAAAAAAAAAAAGTATTTCTACTTTTTACAATTTCCAGTAGAGCAGAAGGAGGTAATTTAAGTAATTTATTTTGTCCTCCAGGGTCATTTGGCAATACCTGGGGGCAGTTTTGTTTGTTGCAAATGGGGAGGGAGAGCTACTGGCATCTCCAGTAGTAATAGTGGGTGAGTGGATGCCAGCGATGCTTACATCCTAAAATGCACACAATAAAAAAGAATTATCCAGCCCACAATTTCAGTAAGACTGAGGTTAAGAAATCCTATTCTAGGGCCTCCCTGTGGCCTAGGGGTTAAATCTCAGTGCTATCACCACTAAGGCCTGAGTTTCATCCCTGGTCATGGTGCTAACCCACATATGGAGCAACAGTGCTCCATATGTCTCACCCACTGCTCCCCTCAGCAGTTTATCTCAGGGCCTACACCCTAGTTCTACGGAAAAAAAAAATTCCTATTCTAGAGCACATAAAATTTTGGAAAATTATTCATCAAATTTCTTATGATGACATATGCAACCAACCATTATAAATAACATTTCACCAAGTTAAATGCAACCATATTTTTAAATATTGCACTTTGATAGGATAAAGTTTGTCTTACAAATTAAAAAAATCACTCAACTGAAAATATCAATGTTATCAATAGATTCGTATGTTAAAGAATTTTCTCAGCGTGAGGGAAAAAAATCAGAAAATTCAATGATAATTCATGGTAAAATTCTTAATATTTAGGAAGAAAATGAGCTTCCCAAATGAAAGGCATCTTCCAGAAATCTGAAGCAAACATACTTGCTAGTGATCTATTAGAAGCATTTCAATTACAATTAGTGAAAAGATAAGGATATTCCTACTAGTCAACATTTTATAGAAGAACAATCTTAGCAAATAAAAAAGGCCAAGTAAATAAAGGGAGGTAATGAAATGAAAACAAACGAAACAAAACAAAAGAATCTTTGTTTAGGTTTTATTTTTTTAAAAAAAGATTTATTTCTTTGCGCATACAAGAACTGGGTGTAGGTCAGAGGTGCAGGGGTTGAGAAAATTCACCAGAGACAAAGTGGGGAGCAGAACAGGCAGATCTACTGAAATACACTGCTGAGGGGAGCAGCGGGCAAGACAGGAGAGGTCTGCTGCACCATGTGAGTTAGCTCCCTGGCCGAGGGATTGCAACTCCTGTTGCAGTGGCTGGTGATAGATTGATAGCACTGTTTTTAATCCCTGCACCACCAAAGAAGCCCTTTCATTTAAATTTTAATTGATTTTTTTACCCAAAAAAATCCAAATGACTAGATTACAAACTCTAAAATACTTTGTCTAGCTAGCATCAATACCATAAATTAATGTCTTTTCCTATTAACCAAAAATAATCACTGAGGAAATTTCATAAAAGTGAGGATTATTTACAGTAGCCATACAACCATATGGATCATAAAATGTATTAGATACTATAAATGGGCAAATATAGTATTATATTGAAAACTACAAAGAGAAAGAATTTGTCCTTTGATAGATCAAAATATGACAAAATAATATTTTACTTAACCAAATGTAATAGTTTTAAAAATACATATCTCTAGAAAATAATAGTAAAATTATGTATGTATATATGTGCATATACATACACAGACACGCATATATATATATATATATATATATAGTTGATGTCAAGGGAAAGAAGTAAAAAAAAAAAAAAGACTTGTTTACTAGAAAACAAGGGTACAGAAATTTTCACTTTGAAACAAATACTTGTTTACAAACTTCTCACTGATACCTCATTGCTTCCCAGTAACTTCAGTTTGAGCCTATCACTCTGAAACCCACTTCAAACTATATTCTTCTACCTCTGATTTTTCCATTCTTAACCTCTAAGTAGGAACCTTTTCCCCATTCCTAACTCCTTGCCCTCCAGGTTAGCTCTCAGCATTTCCTGTTCTGTCTCTTCCTACTATCCTAGCTCCTTACCTGCCTCCCCTCAGAGGAGCGCTGTCTTTCACGCAGTGCCAGTTGAGTGTGAGTATGAGTGGCTCTTGGACCCAGTCTTCTGTAAGGAACCTAAGTAATTGCTAAAAGACCGTTGGGACAGAGATAAAATAATCCCATGAGTAGTGTGACCCTTGGCATGAGAACTACAATTGCCCCAGGAGGCTTGCCACATTAGACCAAAGCAGATCTAAATAATATGTTTACTTTTCCCTTTTAATTAATTGATTTTTATTTTTATAGTTTGATTTCATTTTATATATATTTTATATTGTTCTTCCTTTTTGTAGAATGCATGCTTTCTCCTTTCAGGTGAAGTCCCCGCAAAATTCTCATCAACAATTCACCTGTGCACCATCACCATAGTCCCTGGTGTGAGAACACATTCTCTCCCCTGTTTTGATCCCTTTCCCTCCCTCCCCCAGTGTCTCTGATTAATAGTGGTCTGTTGATTTTGTTTTTTAATTTATTATAATTATTTTTTCCTTGTTTGGTTCCTCTACATTCCTCCTATAAGTGAAACAATCCAATATTTTTCTTTTTTCTTCTGATTTATTTCACTGAGCATGATCCCTTCCAGCTCCGTCCGTGTTGCTGTGAATGGTATGAGTTTATCTTTTTTGATTGCTAAATAGTATTCCATCATGTATATATTCCACATCTTCTTGATCCAGTCATCTATCTCGGAGCATTATTTTCAATGAATATAAGCATTCTGTTTTTCTCCATTAACTTAAGATTCTTTATCCTGTTGTGTAGAATGCAGGCAAGAAGCATCTTCACACTCCTCTCCTCTTCTCTCTCCCCTCCCAAATTCAGTCACTTATTACATAACACCTAACTGGATTAGATACAAAAAAAAATGCATAGTCTTGAGGCTATGATTTAACATTATAATTAGGGACTTAGATTATTTGAATCTTAAAGTGAATAAAATTTTATTGTACTATGATTAAATAATTATTCAGCCCAGAATCCATTTTTTACATGCTTCATTCTCAAATCTTTCTCTCATATTCTATTCAGGACAAAATGCTAATGAGTATATAAGACAAAACAAACAGGTTCCTGTGCAGAACCTGAGAGAGAAGGAGCACTGTGAACACTTTGACAGTTCAGGGTCAGTGAAGAAGGTCTCCATCCTCACACAGTTTCAAAAATAACCATGGCAAGGTCTCCATCAGGAAGTCCTTTTGCCTCTCCAGGTAATCACCCACTCAGAAATGGTAGTAATTGGGATAGCTACTTGCCGAACTGTGAAACTCCAGTAGGTTGTTGAAATCCTCATCATCTACACACCTTGCACACACATCCACATGTATACTCAGTG